CTACTACAGTCCAAGGGTTCAGAGCTTAGATGCTGGGACCAGGGTCAACAGAGTGAGGACAGGAGACATGGTCTAAAGCCTGCATAGGGAGAGGAGTTCACACTGAGACCTCTGCATATATTCCAAGATCCTTAATGTGTGGCCCAGTCTACAAAAATTGGTCTAGAACCACACTATCAAGTATGGTAGCTACTAGCTGAATATGACTATTAAATGTAAATTAAATAAAACTTGAGGTGCCTGGTGGGCTCATTTGGTTAAGTGTTTGACTTCGGTTCGGTCATGATCTCGTGGTTCATGGGTTCAAGACCTGCATCGGGCTGTGTACCGATGGTGCAGAGCCTGCTTCAGATTCTCTGTCTCCCTCTCTCTGTGCCTCTTTCCCTAAAAAAATAAATTAACATTTAAAAATAATCAATTAATAAAAATTCAAAATTTAATTCCTCAGTCATACATTTCAAGTGCTTAATAACTGCCTGTGGCCAGTGGCTAACATGTTGGAAGGCATGGAATACAAAACACTTGTATCATCACTGCATGTTATTTTGGACAGTGCTAATCTAGAAAATCTCTGGCTCTGGCTATAGTTCCAAAAAAGGAGCAAGGAAAGGTGCTGTTTGTCTCAATTTTTGGATGCAAACAGAAAAACTCTCCTTATAAGAAATTGATATACCAAGCATTTGCCCCTTCCTGGTGAAAGGTTCAAATTCATACTAACCACACATGCTGGAATCCCAAGGCAAAAATCGAGCAGAGTCCCACCAGAATCAAGTGCAAAACATCTCAGTAATACACATCCACAAGACACTCTAGAGTGCACATTCACAACCTAAATCACATAGGGCTCCACGGTGTGTGTGTGTGGGGGGGGAAGCAAATCTGATCTAGAAATGAGCTCACAATCAGCAAGTACAAACCTCAGAAAGAATTTGATCATATATCCAAATGACCAATGAACAGAAGAAAGGTGATGAACCTCATTAGTCATCAAGAAATAACTAATAAATGAAAATGAATTACACAGCCTCCAGAAAGGCTAAAATTTAGAAGACTAACAATACCAAGTTTTGGTGAGAAAACACAGCAGCTGGAACTCTCACACATTACTGGTGAAAATATGCGTTGCATATTTTATGACACAGTAGTTCCACCTCTCTATGTATGGAGCAGAAATGGGCACATATGAACATATTCTCAGAGCATGTACCCAAAAACAGATGCAAAGGAAAAATACAAGATGTTCATAGTGAAATATTTGTGTGTTTTTTAAGTTTATTTACTTATTTTGAGAAGGGAGGAAGGGCAGAGAGAGAGGGAGAGAAAACCCCAACCAGGCTTCATGCTATCAGCATGGAGCCTAACGCAGGGCTTGATCTCACCAACCATGAGATCATGACCTGAGCAGAATTCAAGAGCTGGACCCCTAACCGACTGAGCCACCCAGACTACCCCATAGTGGACCATTTGTAATAGACAAACTAAAGACAACCTAAATTTCCATCAATAGAAAACTATATTAATAAGATATGTGTATTCATCTGATGGAATATTTTACAGCAATGGGAAGAAACTACTACCACACCCAACAACATGGAAGAATCTCACAAAAATAATATTCAGAGAAAGAAGCCAAACACAAGAGCGCGTATAAAATTCAAAACAAATGACACTAACCAATGATGATAGAAATTAAGATAATGATTATTTTTCAGAGGGATAGTGACTGAGAAGAGGCACAAGTAGGGATACTAGGTTTCTAGTAATATTCTATTTCTTGTTCTGGGGAGTTGTGACATAAGTGACATTCCCTTTGTCAAAATGTATCAAGTTGTAAAGTTATCATTTCTATATTTTTCTATCTATATGTAAATATAAATTATATATAGTTATATATTAAATATTACATACATTTTATATAAAATTAAGATTTTATTAATACAGTAATGATGAATCAGGAGAATTAAACCAAAGTTGAACTAAAATTCTAGAAACCAATAACATGAAATATGGGATGGAGTTGTCAGAGTTCAAACATGCTATAGTACTTATAATGTTCTGAGGGAAAATAGAAATGTTTATTAATGTTAGACCTTATTGAGTTAAGTAGATGTGTTAAAAATTGTAGAAGTAATCATTAAAAATGAGAAATACATACATTTTTAGCATAAAGAGAGGGAGAGATTCTTCTAAAGAAAAAGTAACTGATGCTAAAAAAGTGGAAAAAAAAGAAAAAGTATCATAAAATCTCCCCAAAAGGTGATATAAATATGCTCAAATAAGTCAGTACTTATAGTGAACATAAACAAGTTACACTCCCCAATTTAAAAATAGGTACGCTCAGGGGCACATGGGTGGTTCAGTCGATTAAGCTCAGGTAATGATCCCATGGTTCATGACTTTGAGCCTCACATTGGATTCTGCACTTACAGCTCAGAGCCTGGAGCCTACTTCGGATTCTGTGTCTCTGTCTCTCTCTGCCCCTCCCCCACACATACTCTGTCTCTCTGTCCCTCAAAAATAAATAAAACATTAAAAAAATTAATAGGTGTTCTCAGATTGGATTAAAAACAAAACAAATGCAGCTATAGATATCTTACAAGGAACACACCTAGACATAGTAGCCCATGTTTAAAGCAAAATGGTAACGATATTTACTCAGATATTGGATTGATCTAGGGTTTAGGATGTATTGGTAAGTGCAAGAGAAGAACAAAGGGTCAGAAAGGTAAAATAATTTTTTTCTGATGTTATAGGGCTCCAGTATTAAAAGTATTTCCCTTGAGGTGTCTGTAAAGGACAGATAGTTCAGAAGGAAAATGCTTTCATTCTCGGTTGCCCAAACCAAAATTCAGACTTGTAAGCTCCTCTTCAATGTAGGGTGTGTTGGAATCTGAACTGGGACATGCAGCCAAGCACTGCACAGTCAAAAGTACAGGGACAGCCTTTCTTCCTTGTCCAGACACACCATGAACTGAGAATCCACAAAAAAAGACATGGCCTTTCCCCTGACAGAATAAAAAAGAGAGAGACATGACCCAAGAGATTAGGGTTGAGCAGAGATCAAAGCAGCCCTCCTTTTGGGGGCCCACAAATTCTCCAGGCTGTCCTAGCAGAACATCATCAACCTCTGTTCGAGGGCAGAAAGAAAGGAGGTGAAGGGTGGGGCAGGGGAGAGACAGGTCACTTCTTGACAAATGACATGAAAGCCACTGAAGAATGTCTACCTCCCTGCAACAGCCTTATTTGCCCTTAGTGTTGTTTCCGATCACCTAATGTGATATTTTGTCACTATGAGTGTGGCCCAACACAGACTATGTGAAGATGTGGTTGTTCCCATAATGGTGAAGGATAAATGCTCCTCTTCTATGTCCTGTATTGGGAAAAGAAACACAGTGCCCCTTCTAAAGGCAAATCTCTATGTATTCTCACTTCTACTTTTTTCCATTTCCTCTGGAAGCTGTTGAGCCATCCCTTATTCCAACCCCACCCCCACCCGACTCATTTATCTATACAAAAGTCCAAATCATATAAATGTCTTTTCTCAACCCTCAGTTACTGTTTCATCTCTCTTCTTCTTCCCTTTATCAAATTTCTTAGAATCTACCCTCTTTGCCTCCACTTCTCATTGATCCCAACTTGATCCTTGCAATTTGACTCATAGCCATAGGCCAAAACATTCTTTTCTTAAAAACATCAACATTCTGTTAATGATGAAATCCACTAGCCCCTTCCCAGTCCTCATTCCCACCTGCTTTTCTTTCTATCTGAAACTGGTACCTCATTCCATTCTTAGGCTCTTCCTTTGCACTGCGCACCATCTAGTCTATCTGACTCTAATTTCTACTATATCTGCCTCCTTCGCATGCCCCACTTTTTCTTACTGTCCTCTGAATAAAGGCATTATGTATGGATCAGCCCTTGAACTTCTCATCTCCCTGGGCTTTGCTCTTCCAACAATCCTTTCTGGACAAAAATTCCTCAACTGTGCCAGCTCTTGTCTCAGCTCCAAGTCCACATATCTCTCTGCTTGCTAGAGATCTCCACCTATATACATTTCCAGTATGTGCAAACTGGATTTAATGTTCCTGTTAAGCCTGTTCTTTTTCCCCAGATACTAGGAGAGAAATCTAGGAGTCATCTTCGGTTATATCTCCTTTCCCAACTCCCACATTTCATAACTATATTGTATATATTTTTACACATTCCCATGCTCACCATGGCCTTTTGTCTGAATTGTTCTGAATGCCACATGTAGATAGTTCCACATATCCAGTCTCTTTCTCTTCTGACCCCTAAAATGCCCTATATACTGCTTCCAAAGTAACCCATTAAAATATGGTCCTTATGGTGTCATTCTCCTGCAAAATGAAGCCCAAAAACTTTAGCATGCTGTTCAAATCTTCACAAAATGGCCCTGCCTCTTATTATGCCTACTCATGAGTCCTCCGCTACAATAATACTGGATGCTTCAACCACCATCGTAACACTCTGCCATTGTTCATGGCTACTGCTTCTGCCTGAAATGTTCTCTACCTCCAAAGCCCTCTCCACCTATTAAATCAAAAAGAACATTTCAGTTTCTGCCTCTTCTATGAAGCCTTCCTTTTTCTCTTAGTATTCCTCCTTTCTTTGTGAGACTTAGAACTCTGTTACATTAAGGTAAATAAATGGCTTTACTAAGCTTATAATTGTGTGTAGAATCTATTCTATGGCAAACGTTATATTCAGGATATAGGGAACACACAGTCTCTGACTTTGGGAAGCATCTGCTCATAGGGGAGGGAGAACACTTAGTGTAGTAAATTGTACTCATGGATGTGCCTTTCTGTACTAGAGATGTTCACACACGCACAATGAAGGAGCACTTAACCCAGCATGGGGCATCAAAGATGACTTTCCAGAGCAGCAGCACATGACCTGAGCCTTAAAAGAAAGATAGTTGCCCAGGCAAAGATTGGCATAAAGCACATTTCAGAAATGAGAATAGCATATAGAAATTCATGACGAGCTACGTCCTATTTCAGGAATTTCAGGTAAATCAGTTGTCTGGAACTGAAAGCACATGGGGATGGTAAAGAGGTATGGACAAAGCCACACTGCAAAGAACCTTGAGTGCCTGTATCAATTATGTATTGCCACAGTGGTGCTGCATAACAAATCATCCCCAAACTCTGTGGCTTAAAACAATAGACATTTATTATCCCTCATAAATCTAAGGGTCAGCAGGTGGCTTTCCTGGCCTCAACTTGAGTCACTTATGTGTCTACAGTCAAAGGCATGCATTGGGGATGCACTTCAGCTATTCTTAGCTGAACATCCTCACGTGTTTAAGAGTTGGCTGGCCATCAGCTGCTTTAATATGGCCTTGGTTCTTCTCCACATGCTTCTCATACATCTAAAGTAGTTAATCTGGGCATGTTCTTGTGACAAGGGAGACATGAAAAAGAAAATAGGTCCAATCATGCAAGACAGCAAGAAGAAATATACATGCTTTTCAAGTCATTGCTTGTCATTGTATTTGCTAACATTCCATGGGCTGACGCAAGTCACATGGATGAACCCAGAGTCAGAATGGGAGCTTGCTGCAGGTTCTTCACCTTTCATGTTCTCCAGCCTGGAAAATGGTTGCCATAGATACGTACCTGACTCATCAGTCCTCTGTTCAAGTATCACCTTATCAGGAGAACTTCCCTAAATACCCATTATGAATTAACACTCATGGCTCCCTTCCTACCCTATCATTTTTTACTACACTCGGTCTGCAATGTTATGTATTTAGTCGTATGTTTACTTATTTATGATTTGCCTCCCCCACTGAAAGTTAAGATCAGTGACAGCAGAGACTTGTCTGTCTTGCTCAGAGTTTTATCCCCAGAGCCTAGAATATAGACTTGGTACATGGTAGACAATTAACAAATATTTGAGTCAGGTAGCTTTGCCCTAGCCACACTGCGTGTAAGCATTAAGCACAGGCTAACTCTGAATGGAATTTATGGGTTTTATTTATCCTTTCTCTTTCAGATCCATTTCTCAAAACTACTCAGGATTCAATTTGGCTATGATACTAAGAAAGTTGAGGAAAATGAATTCTGTAGTATTTAAAAGGGATCAACTTTAGGCATTTGCCTTAAGAAAAAGGGAAAGTTTTCCAGCCAAATTCTTAAATGCATGTGCATACGAATAAAATAAACTTGACTAATCTCCCTCAAATCACTTGGGTAATTCAGAACATGGACTGATAATACCACAATCTTCTCTAAATGCATGGCGGGCACTTCCCAACCTAATCTTTTAATACCGAGCAAGTGCCAGCTTTTAATGTTGTTTTCCAACATATCTACCTTTAAGTCATCAAACTATAAGAATCCACTGAACTTTTTGGCTCACTATCCAGGTTTCATCAAGCTACCTCATGTCCCTTTGTTCCCAAAAGCAGACTCTGAGTGTCACTAAAACATAAAACAACCTACTATTGTCACCCTGCAAGGAGGTGGCTAACGGTCTGCTTTTCAGTGCCTGTGCAGGGCCATCTGGGCAAGCACCTCAGATGCATTTCTGTTTTTTCATTCTGCTCTTTCTGTTATCATGATTTACTTTTCAGGTATACGAGGCAGCATTTTTAAAACAACATGCCATGACACCACAGCATTTGAACCTTTTACCAAATTTTGTACAATTGATCTTTGCTACAACTGAGTAGATACACTGCTATTGAGGTCTGTTGGAATTCATCTTGCAAAGAGTAAAAGATGTGGTGTAATAGCAGATCAACAAGAGAGAAAGATTGTATGTTTTCTGAACCATGTCAACGCTTTGTTTCATGAACATAAAAGGCATCAAAGAAAAGCCCACAAATGGCCATTCTTAAACACAGACATAGTGCAGAAAGGCAAGCACATAGGCTGTGCCCTTGCTGTGGTTACTTTTATGGACAACAAGAGATATTGTTCTATCATCATGGAAACGGTGGTGTCGTTTTGGTTCTTTGAAGCCCTTCATTTCTGTTGCCAGTATTTCTAGCACTTGAAAGTGTACTACAAATGCAGAAGACTGAGAACCTCCAATATAACAAAAAGCTTTATACTTTTAAGGAAGATCTGGGGAATACATATGGATTTGGGATATCTGTATGGTTATCTGATTTGGGTTATCTGAGCATATTCCTTGGCACAGAATATGGAATACGGGAGGAGGCTTAATTTAAGGATGATTCTGTATCCCAGAGGCAATTTTCAGAAATGAGTAGTCAAAGTAAATTAGACCAACCCTAAATCTGATGTCTCTATCGGAAGACATTATGTAATCTCAGAAGTTCTTCTTACTCTAATTTGTGCTTTGAGATGTCACTATCCCTCAGGGTGCCCAAAATAGGAGACTGAGAATCAGAGTGCTCCAAATTCCCCAAAGTGTTCCTCCTACTTCGGCCTCTCCACCTTCCAACTAAATTGTATTGGCAGCCGTTTTCTCCCCTGAAGGGATGTGTACAAACCAGAAGCAATGCTGGGACCTCTTTTGGAAATGCTTTTGCTTCCATAAATTTTGTAAAAGAAATAAATGTGAGAGCTTCCCATCTCTGTCAATCATATAAATTCAAAATAATAGCACTTGGGAGGATCAGAGGTGGGGGGAGGCAGGAAAGAGGGGGGAGGAGATAGAGTTATGAACTGTTCCCCTAAAGCTGGCATTGCTTAGCAACAGCTGTTCATGTAAAACAAAAGATTACTTCAGAAAACCAGAGACAGAGGCCAACAGAAAGAGATCATTATAATCATATTTTAGAGATCAAACAGCTTGCATTATGTTTGCTCGAGCCTATATATGTTTCCTAGTTGTCTGTATAAACATAACACTTTAACATACCTTACTATTATAATATGTTACTATAATGACAAACATAGAATAGCATCCCCCAGGCATCTAGCATCTGGCAGATTTCTTATCTTCTACTTCTCTCCCACCCTGCTGTGGATAAAAGATAAAAGGTGTTCCAACACAGGGAGGCAGTAGAGCACAGTGGTTAAGAGCACAGCTTTGGCATCACATCAGGATAGAGTCTCAGCTTTGTCTCTTACTATTGTGTGACCTTGGGCAAGTTTCTTAACCTCTCCAGAGGTTCAATGTCCTCAACTGCTAAATGAAGGTTAAAATTTGCCTGCTTGTTGGTTAGTGTAAGAATTGAGAGAGATGATGTATGTAAAACATTGAGCACAGTGCCTGGGCCATAAACAGCACTTAGTAAATGTTTGTGTTTATAATCAGTAAATGGAGGAATAAACAAATACTTTGTTTTTCCTTTTAGACTTCCCATATTCTATCCTCATCCCATGGCCAACCTGAGCAAAAAGGAGAAGAGTCTTTAGAAGTAGTGGCAGCATGCCTGCCCTGTCCGGGGGCTAAAGAGACCGGGGTGACTATAACTGGCTGGAGTCAGCTGGCTGTGGGATCAAAGGCCTGCTACACAGCTGTGCTTGCTACAGAAGATTCCTCCCCACCCCCTTCCGGCAGGCCCCCTGTTGGGACTCCAACACACCCCACACACAGTCACACAGCAGCCACTGTGCCTGTCCACGTGGGAGGCCACTATTATTTCTAAGTACTCAGGTAGTTCCCATTCGGGAAGTGAGGATTACATAACTTTTACGTAGAGACATAGTCTTCTGGGGCAAAAGTCCACAATGGTAACTAGAGACGATAGGGGCTCTGGGTGGCGGAGAGGGAGAAAGCTTCTGAAAAAAATCTTTGCCTTTTTTTTTAATAGACAAAAATACAAAGTGTTGCCAGCTTTAGATCTAGGCTATTTCCCTAAGATGTTTACTTAAGCGTCTTACTTAACTTCTTCAAAACATCGAGAATGACCACATACCACATAACCAGAAAAAAGACAAGGGAACATTATTACGTCTATGTAAACAATGAAATCAAGGAGGAATTTTACAATTACAGGTTTCCTTTGACCAAAGAACCAAAAAGCCTTCTGTACACCAAACTGATTTTACAACTGCTTTGGCCTCACAGGTGGGTGGTACCATCGTTCAGAAGGGCTTAGAGACTAACTGAATGTCCATCCACACCAGGGAAAACAAATGTGGTCACATGTAAAATCCAACCACTGCTGCTAGTGAGATTCCTTTAAAACAACATTTTAAAAATGCTTCCTAAGAGAATACAGAATGCAGAAACGTAAAGATACGCGCCTGTGTCAGACATTACAGAAGTACTAAATGACACCGAGCTTAGCTGGCCTAAAGCCAAGTGAAAAACTTCACCCTGATAGAAATTGTAGTGCTGTCATTGTGTTGTAATAAGCCTTGATCAAGTAAAGCATTGTGCTTCTGCTAAGTCTTGAATTTAAAAAAGTTAATCAGGATCTGGCTTCCTTAGAGGACAAGGAAGAAGTGTCTGCTTCGGTAGAAGAGGATATTTACTTGGTCTCAGGAAGTCTGCATTTTCCTCATCTTTTTTAAAACTCTGCCTTTCAAAGAGAGCTCTCTTTCACCCAAAAGTGAATTCTATTTAACTCCAGAAGATGTTGCTCTCTTTTGCTCTGTAGATTTTTAGGAATGCACTTGCTGTTTATAATTGGCTTTATGTACAAGAGATCCAAGTGGAGGGAAGCAGTACTGGAAATGTGACACACAAGTGACTCAGCATTTTCCCAGAGCCATCTCCCGCAATATATGCAGACACCTGACTAAAACTTAGTGAACAGGTCCATGAGATGATCCCACATATTTAAGACTCAACTGTTACATGGAAAATAAGTCCAGCCACATATACTCAAGTACGGTAAGGCAAACCTGGTAAAAATCAATGATGGTCCTAGGGCAAAAGAGCGAAAGTAAGGTGTGATCGTGAAAGGGTGGTTGCTAGTTAGGAAAGAACAAAGGTCACCACAGTTCAACTTTTACATTTTCTTTTTTTATTTTTCTTTAATTCCCTAGAGTTGTATAATGTAGTGCTTTAGGCTAGAGACTGCACAAAGTTATTTTTTACCCGAATAAAATATTCCTATGGTTAATACCTAGCCCAATCCTATTCTTTCCCTGTTTCAATACTCTCAGCACCTCTTCAGGTTTTTTTTTTTTTTAATGTTTTATTTATTTCCAAGAGAGAAAAAGAGAGAGAGACAGCGTGAGCAGGGGAGGGTCAGAGAGAGAAGGAGACACAGAATCCAAAACAGGCTCCAGGAGCTGAGCTAGCTGTCAGCACAGAGACCGACGTGGGGCTGGAAGCCACGAACCGTGAGGTCATGACCTGAGCCAAAGTTGGATGCTTAATCAGTTGAGCCACCCAGACACCCCTCTTTCAGTTTTAAAAACATAAATTTTGGGGGCACCTAGGTGGCTCCATCAGTTAAGTGTTAGACTTTGGTCATGATCTCACAGTTCATGAGTTCAAGCCTCACATTGGGCTCTCTGCTGTCAGCATCATCTGTCCGCCTCTCTCTGTGCCCTTCCCCTGCTCGTGTACACACACACACTCTCTCTCTCTCTCTCTCTCAAAATAAATAAACATTTTTAAAAAAACATGTCGATTTTGTCAATGGGCATATGTTCCAGATTGATTCTGTTACAAGTCTCGGGCCTAATCTCTGTTAACTTTGAGCTTCTCATGGTCTCCAGTCCAGAAGTTGATGTGTCCACCTGTGTGGAAGGCAAGAGATAGCCAATGACTTTTTTTTTTTTTTAAAGTATATCTGTACCCTTGAGGAGATAATAATAGCTAGAGCTACTTTTTATCAAGTGTAACCCTGGGCACCTTGCTAAAGGCCTTAAAACATGATCGCCTTTAATCTGTACAACACTTTTTGAAGTAGAACATATTATCTCCATTTTATGGAGAAGAAAATTAGGATTCAGAGGAGTTAAGCAATTTGCCCAGCATCATAGAGCTCATAAATCAGAGAGCCAAGAGCTAAACCAGGACAAGTGAACATCCATCACACAATGCTGCCTCTCAAGCCCTGAGTCTGTCTGTCCTGGGCAAATATTATACTTATATTTCAAAACCCATGGAAAAATGGGAAGTGGAAGCTTCTAAATGGGGGAGAAGCAAGTGGAAAATGTAGTGACTGTTAATTCATCTACAAAGCTTACTGAGGGACAGATGTGCTTTATAAGATCTTTTCAGGGTTATGGTATGGTTCCTGTCCTCAGGCAGCTAACATTTTAATTGGAAAGACGCCTAAGAATATAAGTCAAAATCAAATAAGTACTTCAGAAGAGGTATACACAAAGTATTGAGTGTAAAATCATGGAGGAAGAAGGGATTATTTTTCCTGATGGCTTGCCAAACTGTTGGAAAGGTTTGTTTTGCCTACTAATCAGTAATAGCACATATTTTAATCTAGTCATTAAGAACATTTGACATTTGTTTGCCAAAAGTAATGAATATTAATTTTGAATATTTGAAGACTTTCAAGTCAGTGGACCGAAAAATCTTCTATATTCTCAAATGTTGTTGCAGCAATGAAAATTGGTAAAATTTAAAAAGAAAAGTTTTTGGAAAGGAAGCCGGTGACAGGGACCAGACTGCTATGAATTTATCTACTTTACTGATAAGTTCTTGAGTAAAGATACATACATAAGAATGTTAATTTAGTCCTTGTTTGTTTTACTAATAAACTGGACACAACCTAATGTCTATCAGTTAGGGATTGGTTACATTCTGACAAATCTGTATGATGGGCTACTCTGAAGCTGTTAAAAAAAATTATTAAAAGAAAAATCTTTTTTAAAATCTCCATTGCAGATGGTTGAGTAAAAAACAAAGTATACTAGAATATGATATCATTTATATAAATATATACACACAGAAGTGGATAAAATAGATACATAGATAGATTTCAGGAGAAATCCTCACCAAAATTTTAACATTTCTTGGGAGCCAAGATGAATTTATTTTTTAGTACTTTTCTGTATTACTTGGATTTTCTGCATCAAGCTATTATTTTTGTAATCAGAAAAGGAAAACAAGAAAATTATTTGGGGAAGAGGGACATATTTCCTTTTAGACTTACATGTCATAAAATGATACATTCCGAAGATAATAGTTCAAAATATATTTCTATTGAAGTAGTTGTAACTCGCCTTGAACAAAACCTTGCCTTTGTCAAGTCATATGTTTGATTTGCTTTGTGGACTTGTCATCATCAAAAAACCATAGCCACGTCAAAGAGCAGTCATGAAGTTGTACTTGGCTGTCTTGTTCTTCGATGCAGAGAGACAGTCAAAAAGAGCCAGTTATTCTATTTAGCATGTAATTTATATTCTAACAGGGGAAACGTAGGTCTATGCTTTTGTTCATGTCCACTTTAGGAATAACACTAACTTTGAGGGCCTTTTTGAGGTGATTCTTCTGACTTAAAGCCAACTTTCATGGGCCAAAGAGCCCAAGTAGCTGGAAGAAATAAGCTGTACCTTTGTTCTAATTATTCTCTGTTTATAAACTAAATGACTAGAGGGTCCAAAAAGCATTTTCAACTTTGCATGCATTATAATGCACACCTCCAAAACCAAACTAACTAAGGAAACATGCATCACAAACTCATTTAATCAATACTGTAAAGAAATGATATCATTTACTTTAGGTTATATGAGTCAGATTGCTGGCTGATAAAAGAAACCAATTTGCACAAAGATCTCTGGGCCGTTGTTCCCTCCTGTACAAAATTAGACCTCTTTCATGCCTAAGAATCTAAGATTCTATTACTTACAATAACGTGCTCTTGAGGGTTTAAAAGTTTTATGACTCTCAATAGATAACATTTCAGAATAGAATTTATTTCAATTATGGGAGTGAACTGATTATATGAGGAGTATGTGTTCTTGCTGAACCCTGTCATTCCTAAAAGAGTACAATCACCCATCTCTAAAATATAGTTAAGTAGATTTGATATAAACAACCTCATGTCAAATGCTGAGACATAATAAAAACATATATAATGTTGGTAATGAGAAGTGGAAGGAAATTATCAGGAAGAAGAGAATGAAGGGGAAAAGGCATTTTTTAATAATGAAAATTATAGAAAAAGATTTTTTTAAATATTTTTTTATTTATTTCTAGGAGAGAGAGAGACAGACAGACAGACACAGCGTGAACAGGGGAGGGTCAGAGAGAGAGGGAGATACAGAATCTGAAACAGGCTCCAGGCTCTGAGCTAGCTGTCAGCACAGAGCCGGACGCGGGGCTCGAACCCACGAACCGCGAGATCATGACCTAAGCGAAAGCCGGACGCTTAACCGACTAAGCCACCCAGGCGCCCCCAAAAAAGATTTTTTTTAAGTCTAATGAATTAGAGGTGCCTGGGTGGCTCTGTCAGTTGGGCATCCAACTTCGGCTCAGGTCATGATCTCATAGTCAGTGGTTTGAGCCCCACATCAGGCTCTGTGCTAACAGTTCAGAGCCTGAAGCCTGCTTCAGATTCTGTGTCTCCCTCAGTCTCTGCCCCTCCCCTGCTTATTCTGTCTCTCTCTCACTTTCTCTCTCTCACTCTCTCAAAAATAAATAAAAATTTTAAAAAATGTTTTAAAGTCTGATGAATTAAATTAAGGGAAAATAACCAGAAAA